CTAAACAAATCCTTTGTAATACAGGAAAAACACCTGTCATTACTTATGCTTCCTTTCTTTAAAAAAACAAAGCACTTTATAACAATACACCCTACAGATGGCCTCTACTGGGTCATGGGCATGGTCACAGAATTATTTCAAAACAAATAAACCTATGGGAGAAAAAAAACACCTACCTAATACAAAAATTATGGGAAATTTTAGTTTTAGTTTTAATACAAGGTTGCATAAATAAAGCAAGAGCAACACTTCAGATATAAATGACATAGCATTACTTAGTCCTGGTCGGTGAAACCCAAATTCTATTTATTCCCCCTGGCTTCCAGAATCCACTAAATGTCATTTATGTTTTCACTGTACTTGGTACAGTATTGATATTTAATATAAATCAAAAGATTCTCACCAAAGTTACTTAAAATTAATTTGCTTAAATTACAGCATAGATGCAGATAATCAAGTTCAATCCCCTAAATAAATAATAAACTGACAACTGCACTTACACTAATGGTCAAAAGTTGAAGTGCTTATTGGGATACAATTGGAAAAATCTAAATGTTTAGACGTAAGTGGGGAATTGCTAAAAGAAAAAACGTTAGTCACAGAATGGGACAATATAATTGTGCTTGCCGATGGCATTTCCACAAGTCTTTGGAAGGCTCCACAGCATAGAGCAGTAAATCATTAATTTACTTTCAGGGGCAGAACTGATATGCCATGCTCTGAGTGCAGATGGGACTAGAAAGGCAGGAAGCAAAACACCATATGAAACATGCTGAACAAACAGAGAAGTGCATGCATCCTGACCAAAATGGAACTTTTCCAGAACATTCCATTCAAGCTTCAATCCATGTTACTTCCCATTCAGCTATGACACTGCTCAACCTGTACCTTCTAAATACTGCAATGGTAACCAGGAACTGCACTTGTTTGTATATACATAAATGGGTACATAACTGAGAATTTTTGCAATTTAAAAACTCTACTGAAAATTTGGCTTCCCTATACACTGGTCCCAAACCCTCCTTCCTGACTTCTAGGGTGTCTAAAAGCAACATTTGCTTTTTATATGACCTATAACAAGGTGTCCCAAAGGAAATATTTTAAATTGTTAGTCACAGAATAAAAAACAAAAAATAAAAAATAAAATAATCCTATATAATAAAAGGCTAATATGCAAATTGTCTCCTCCACTGGGAGTTTGACCAGGAGTTCAACCTGGAGTTTGACCAGGGGATGGGGCCGGCCGGCCAACTGCTTGTAGCCCCTCCCCCTGGCTGGCCCTGCCCCTGATTGCCCCCCCCCCCATCAGGAGCGGGGCTGGCCCTCCATCTGCCCGTGGCCCCATTGCCTGATCGGGGCAGGCTAGCCGGACTCCACCCATGCATGAATTCATGCACCAGGCCTCTAGTATGTAATAAAATAAAATAGAAATATGTCCAGAGAGCACTGAACCAAAAGTCTAGAAGCGAGGTTTCTGGGTCCTGCCCTGACATTAGGATGCCAACTCACCTTAGGCTAAGGGGTTTCCCAGGGTGGGGCACTTTCAGTGCTAAAACCAAGAAAGTCGCAGGCAAATAGGGACAAGTTGGTCTCCCTATGGGTGACAATGGCTAAATCACAACCCACTGGGAACACAGTGCCCTCGTTGCTAACATCTGGATGGGACCAGAGGTTTCCAGGGCCCTTCAGTTCTAATTTCCTATGACCCTGAGCACTATTTACACCATAGCTGATTGTATTATACATTGTACACCATAAGTGAATAGAGCTTTATGGAGGGTCAGGGGACTCTGGAAATATTTTGGGAAGTTATGCATTGTCTGGCGTTATGTAAGCTTAACAGTAAACAAAGCTAGGAGTTTTCAGTTTTTTATTTTTCATTTCTATAGCAAAGAGGAAATAAGCTGCTTCTAGAAAATATCAAGCCAACAAAGAAAATCCTTCCAACACCAACATTCAATTTAATCCATCCTCCCTCACCTCCTAGCTTCCCAGCTCATGGGAGACCTGGGCAAGACATCGGGACAAAAGCTTAAAAACAGGAAATATTACTTTAATTTACTGACAGCCACTGTGAAAGAATATATTTCTACATTTTTAAGAAAGTAAAAACTTACAAAGGTGTGGCCACAAGTAACTGCAAAACCCAAAAGCAAAGCAAATGCAACTGTTTCACCAGCAACCCACAATAACAATAGTCATAAAAGCGAAAGATAAATAAGGCCTTGAATACTTTCAAATGTGTTCTCTAATTTTAGCTTTAATCCTGAAAAAATCCTATTTTAGAGAATAAAAAACAAGTCCTACATAAAATCAGAACCATTCCTCTTTCCTCGTTGGGCGTTCTAATTAGGATACTATCTGACCTCTTGCTACTAATAAAGATCCTAAATGAAAGCATTTGTGCCAGGAAGACTGAGTTAGGAAAAATGTCTAAAAGCACAACCAAGAAAGAAGTCCTATTGAATGATTTTTTAAAGGCAATAACATTTAGGGGAAGTTATTATAAAATGCCTCTGTCCTAAAAAAATTACAATATCCATTATATATATTACTCATAAGAGAACTACTCTACCATGTCTCGTCATCATTCTTAGTAAATAGGTAGCTGAACTGTCTTTAGAATTTTTCCCACATGCTCCTTTATGAGGAGTCTGGCAGCACCAACAAGAGATTTCTTACTTGTTATTTAAGAGCAGCCTCAAGGTCTATGTGTGTATTCTCAAGCACATGCATAGGAGTTTGCTTCTCCTTGCCTCTTCACACAGAAGCTTCTCCCCCCACATCAGTGCACAGTTTCTGCCCAAATCTGTCATAGACACTGCGGGAATATGAAATTGTGTGCAAGAAAGAGGATCCCAGTCCTTAAGACACTACTAATTTACTTGGGGAAGATAAGACATAGTATTCCCACACGAGTTCCCTGTGCCAGCAAAATGGATGGCGATCATATCTTAATTAGTAATGTTGGGATGCTGTCATCTGCGTATTATTTGTATGGTTCACAAAGCCTTAATCCAAATAGGTAAGGAAAATTAAATCCATGCCATTTATTGCAAATATATTAAAATACAATAAATAACAGAATTTATTTTGAGTAGCATACCACCTGTAGTAGGGAAGATGGAGATTCTTTTTTTTTAAATATTTTTTTATTAATTTCAGAGAGGAAGAGAGGGAGAAAGAGAGAAACATCAATGATGAGAGAGAATCATTGATTGACTGCCTCCTGTACTTCCCCTACTGGGGATTGAGCCTGCAACCTGGGCATGTGCCCTGACTGGGATTCAAACCTTGACCTTCTGGTTCATAGGTTGATGCTCAACCACTGAGCCATACTGTCTGGGTGGGGTGAGATTCTTAAAATATTTTTTTTTCATTGATTTTAGAGAGGAAGGGAGAGAGATAGAGAGATAGAAACATCAATGATGAGAGAGAATCATTGATTGGCTGCCTCCTGTATGCCCCCTACTGGGGGGGGGAGGGAGGGCAGATCGAGCCCACAACCTGGGCATGTGCCCTTGGCAAAAATACAACCTGGGACCCTTTAGCCCACAGGCTGACACTCTATCCACTGAGCCAAATCGGGTAGGCTGGGTGGGTTGAGATTCTTAATGGCCAAAATATCACATAAACTCAGGAAAGGAAATAGGGGGAAAGGAACAGTTTTGCTATTATTACCTCAGCAATGGCACTGGCAAAGAAGTGTGGCTTCTCAAAACCCAGAATTTGTTAAAAATAAGCTGCTGGACTCGATTTCTAGAGATCCAGGTGTTAGCCCTAACTCCTTCACAATCATATCCTCTCTTGCCCTGGTTTTCTACCTAAACCAGACAATGGCTGATATTCCTTTAATGAACACTTCTGGTAATCCTTTCTTGGATAAATGTATCAAGGTCCCACCCCAATTACAGTGTACAACATTAAATTATTCAATAATCAATGACTTTAACTTTTTGTGTATATACACTGACTTCTTTATGGCAGCTGGTTAACAAAGCAAAAATCTTAATTCACTTTGCTAGAGTTTAGCACTAAACAGTCATCCGTTTTACATCTAGGCCTAATAATCTAGCCAAATTAATGTGGCATATTATTCAGTATTATTGCAAGAAGCTTTGGTGTGGTCAAAATTTATGATGGTGAAGATCAGATCAAATGAGTATGTATTCATTGCTCTCAGCTGGCTTAAAATGGCTTAGCTACACAGCAACCAAGAGTAAGAAAATATTTCATTTCTCTTTTTATGTTAATCCAGTGATAACATCTAAGTATGACTTTGGTATATATAAAAATCCTTTCACCTGGTAAGACTTAAACCCATGTTGTTTAGGGGGGGAGGGGAAGCAGAAGAAGAAAAAATATGGGTTGTAATATCAAACCACTTCTATTATTTCTTATGTGGAAATCTTGTTTGGACATCTGAATGTTAGGACAATTACCACCTAGTAACAGCAATGAATTCAAATACAATAAACTCCAATAAAATACTAAATAATACAAGCTCTCTTCATTCTAAAATACTTGTTTGAGTCCTTTCAGCAAAGAGATAAAAGAAACCCGGAATGAAAAAGTAAGGGCATACTCAAGCTTCCATGAAGCTGCATGATAAAGTGAATAATAGGAACAAAAATAAATCCGAGAATTGAGAAATGCTGGAAAAGTTTTCCAAATACTATTCTTGCTTGTATCTAGCTCCGTTATACAGTTTAAATTCAGCCAAATTTTGTAAGTATTTGTTAAACAGTTCTTGCATGTGACATATGTTTCCAGGATACTTCTGACATTGATATGAGAGATTATAAAACATTTAGAAACGAAAATGTTACTCTCCAACAAAAAACACCATAACTTCCAAGACTCTTCTAAATTCATAAGATAGAAAAACATTTGGACAATAGTAGCTTTCCATTTTAAAATGTTCAAATAATATACTTCAAAACAAAAAAAAAGTGTCATTGTTCAAGGCAAGGAGGAGGAAACAAGTCTAAATAAAATAAGATATTAAAATTAACTCTAGAAATCATTACTTTTCCTTTGCAGTCTCAATCTTGTTTACTCCATAATAAGTAAATTGCTTTATCCCTTCAGCTGGGAAGGATAATTCTTACCCTACCAAGATGATGACAGTACCACACTGCAGTGCTCACCAAGCAAGAAACACATGAATATGAAGTAGCAGTAAGTCTTGCTAACAAACAAGGTGTATGCAAGACTTGATTTGCAATGCATTAATTTAGGAACTCCGTGGAGAGGCTCCTACTATATCTAGCTGATCTAAATTTGAGCTCATGATAACACTGCACAAAGCTATGGTAGATGAAAGTGATAGGCAATGCCAACAGAACAATTCCACTGACAACACAAACTCCTCCAAGAATTCTTCCAGGCATTGTGATAGGATACATATCTCCATAGCCAACTGTAGTCATAGAGATAATCACCCACCAGCAGGCAGCAGGGATGCTGGCGAAGTCCTTGTTGGATGCTTCCAGGTCCAACCCATGTTCAAGAAGCTGAGAAAGTGCACTGAAGATTGCCATGGCAACACAAATGAAGACAAGTAGCATAACCATCTCTCGGTAGCATCGTTTGAGAGTCAAACCAAGTGTCTGAAGACCAATGAAGTGACGGGCAAGCTTAATCACCCAAAAAATCCTCATCATTCTAAGCACCCTCAAGGTGACCCCGGCCCTCTGGAGCTGGGAGTTCTCGCCTGTAAATACTGTCATCAACACGGAGATGTAATACGGCGTGATTGCCAGTAAGTCAATGATGTTCAGGGGTCTCTTGACAAACTCACACTTGTTTTTGGAGATGATGAACCTCACGATGCACTCTGCCGTGAACCAACCTATGCAGATAGCTTCAATTATCCTGTCAAGAGAACAAAAGAAGAATTGATCATTTTATTTTTAAGCATTTTAATAGCTCTTTGAGTTCTTCAGATAGTACTACACTGACATATTAATTCAGTTACTGATTCCAGAAAACATAAAGGACAGCATTACCAACATCATCAGACCCACCAGGACGTAACACAACAACAAATATTACAGTTCAAATGACAATTGAACTTGATAAAGCTCTTATTTATATACTGCATGTAATACCACTGCATTGTTTTTCGCTTGTCACTAATACTTAAAATCTCTTACTTGGTGAATTGAAAATGAACTTGGACTCAGCTAGCCACAATACGAAATGTGATGTCAGTTATGAGATAGGTCAGAGAACTCTGCTCCTATAGAGCAGACACACCCGGGTTTTCAATCATGCATTTCTCGGTAAATTAGAGTGAACTCAGGATCATCTCCTAAAATGTGACTCTGCCTTCTTTTCTGGCTTTGTGTGGGAGACACTGAAGCTGAGCCTGCTTCTGGGGCTTTGCAGGAAGGAGTGCCAGCAGCCTCCCCAGCACAGAGCCACCATCCATGCTGAGTGTCGCAGTGGGAAAGGGGCTGAGGACTCCTGCACTGGAGCCAAACCATCACTGGGGTTTTCCCCAAGACCCAACTGGTTTGTTTGTTTTTTGTAGCTATTTTGTGCAACAGACATTTTAAAAATATAAGGCCACATTTTAGCCAGAGCAGTATTTCCCAACCTTTCCACATCACTGCACACACTAAACCGAAGATAATAGTATTTACACAACATAGTGGCATCAAGGGGTTCTATTCTTGAAGCGGAAGCCACCAGCCTGGGGGCTCTGGCCACTCTCGCCCCTGACCACAGTCACCAAGGCCGAGAAAATGAAATCTCAGCACACCGGTCAGGAAGCCTAGATCCAGAATGAGAGGTAATTCGGAGGTAATTTTTAATTAAATTGCATTTTTAGATTCTAATTAAAAGTTACAATTATTACACCATCATTCATTTTTTCTTCACATAATTCTTTCCCATCATTGACCCAGACCCAAACATCAGAAGTACAATGGAAAGAGAAGACATTAGAGTAGGCGAGATGGTAAGGTCCGTGAGGCAACATTTTGAGAAGAAGTTCTCAAAATGCATGTCACAGAACACAAGTTATACTGGTTGTTAGTCAGGGAAATAGACACACAAAATCAACCATGATTCACAGGGCTGTAAAGATTGCTTTTATTTATTATTTGAATAGGTAGTTCATTCACATAGTTCAAATTTTAAAGGTAAAAACGGGGGATATAAAAAAAATTCTCACTCCGACCCCATTCCCCAACCACCGTTCCCCAGTCTTCACTCCAGCCACCAAATCCTCCGGGCACTGGTTATAACAGCAATAGCCACTGATCACCAAGAAACTGGGAACCCAAGTATATGTTTCCTATGGCAGCTATAAAAAATTACCACAGCCCAGCTAGCATGGCTCAGTGATGGAGCATTGATCTATGAACCAGGAGGTCATGGTTCGGTTCCCAGGATAGAGCCCTGGTGTGGGGCATGCAGGAGGCAGCTGATCAATGATTCTCATCATTGATGTTTCTATCTCTCTCTCCCTCACCTTTCCTCTCTGAAATCAATTAAAAAATATATTTTTTAAAAATTACCACAAACTTGGTGGCATAAAACAACAGAAAATTATTTCTCGCTTGTTCTAGAGGTCAGACATGCAAAATCGATACCACTGGGCCAAAATCAAGTGTTAGGAGGGCCACACTCCCTTTGGGGCTCTAGGAGAGAATCCACTCCTTGACTCTTCCAGCTTCCGGTGGCTGTCGGCATTCCTTGGTTCACAGCCATCTCATTTCAGTCTCTGCCTTGGTGGTTCCACGGCCTCCTCCTCTTCTGTCACTGTGTCAGATGTCCCTCTGCATCCTTCTTCTGAAGATGTGACAGCATTGAGAGCCCGCTGGGATAACCCAGGATAATCCCACCATCTCAAGATCCTTCATTTAATCCCATCTGTACCAGCCCTTCTGCCAGGTACAGTATGGTAACATCCACTAGTTCCAGGGATTAGGACCTGGTATCTTTGGGGGCAGAGGAGAGGTCTTTTTCAACCTACCATACACAGTAAACACAAGGTGTCAGCAGATGAAGTCACAGCTGCCCCCACTATTTCTCTTTTGTATTCTCTGCCGCTCTGCTCATGGGCCCCATGACCCTGTGGTTGGCAGCAGCTTCCCTGTCCCCACCAAACTATCAGTAAAAGCTGCTGCCATGATGGCCTCTATGAACCTGGAGGCTTAGAAAACTGGGCGAGTGATGAAACGTGGTCGATCTAAGCAAGCATCTGTCAAGTCAGGATTCATTCAGAACCACACTGTGAGCATCCGGGGTACTCTTCTGGGAGCTAGGAAGCCAGCAGTGAACAGAACGGACATATTTCCTGCTCTCATGGAGCTTACATCTGGTGGGTAAAGATAGATAACCAAAAACAAGTTGATCTATCAGACGGGGTAAATAGCATGAAGAGAAATGAAAGAGGCTAAGGGGGATCTGGGTGTTGGGGGAAGGGGAGGGGTTGCTGTGTCATATAGCGTGACCGTTGTCCAGAAAGAAGAGAGAGGCCATCTGTCGAGGTATCTGGGGAAAGAGCTTTCGAAGTATAGGGAATAGCAAGACTAGGGTGGGCAGGGGTAGGGGTCAGGCAGAAAAAAAGAGAAGGATTAACGATTATTATCTTGCAGACCTTCAGGTAAAAAAGTAAATGTGGAAATAGCAGATCTGGAGTTTATTTGTTGAGGGAACCAGCGGGCTCAATGGTTACTCAGTTAGACAGGCCCTGCATCGGATTCTGTTTGATGCCAAGTGCTCTGCATCCCTGGCATCTTGGTAACCTGCATGAGACATCGTGAGATCATTAAGAGGTGGGCCCACTCACGTGGCCTATATCTCTAGCCTTTCCAGAAGCCAGGGTGGACCAGATACATGACACGCTTCCTTTTCCTCTTGGATCGTTGGGTGAGTTTCTGCTATACTTTTCTTAAAATCGATTCTTCCTCTGCCCTTTTACTGGATGTGAAGAAAACCCAGGTTTTGATCTACACCAGGGGTCCTCAAACTTTTTAAACAGGGGGCCAGTTCACTGTCCCTCAGACCATTGAGGGCCGGACTGTAGTTTAAAAAACACTATGAACAAATTCCTATGCACACTGCACATATCTTATTTTGAAGTAAAAAAACAAAACGGGAACAAATACAATATTTGTATTTGCATGTGGCCCGCGGGCCGTAGTTTGAAGACCCCTGATCTAGAGAATAAGAAGCTACATTTTTTTTCAATCTATAGTTTTAACATATATATTACCATAGTATCACTCTCCCTGGTAACGGTCATCAAATACTCCATATGTTCCCTTCTCCCCCATATTTCCACCCCTCTGCAATTAGGCAGGGTTATATGACCAGTTCTGACAGATGACCCATGAGCAAAACGACTCTATCACCTCTGGGCAGAAGCACAGAGGAGTGAGTGCGGATCCCCCACCACGGCAACTGGAAGGCATGTGTCTTAACTGGCTACAGGATGCGGCCCAAGTCCCTGAGGGTCTGCACAGAGAAGAGCCCGACTCGGATTGAACATGATATGTGAGCAACAGATAAATCTTTGTTGTGTTAAGCCACTGAGAACTCTAAATGGGGTGCAATCCTAGGTAATAAAGTGATGCATGCAGTCAGGTCCGCATAGAGTAGTAACAGGAATGGTTTTCTTCGAGTGCCTATGGTTAAAACATCTCCAGTTCTCCAGCTCACGTGGGCAGGAGCGCTGGCTCCCGCTCTGAAGGAGGACTCCCACCTATCCAGTGGCAGAGTTGCACCGATCTCCTAAGGGCTCTCCCAGCAATAAAATCCTGGGATTCTATTAAATTAAGAAGAGTAAAAAACTTTAAATTGTGCCAGAAATACCAGAACACTTTCTGTTTAATTATTTCTACCAGCAGCCAAAGTTGTTCAGATGAAAAAGGAGGAAATTCAAATGGTGCAGAATAATTCCTCAGTAGAGGGGATTTCAAAGAGGTAAACTCCTCCATAATGAGGCCCTCTGGGCTCCTCCTGCCCACCCCCCCAAGTCAGATGCAGTTTAGCCAGAATTCCATGCTAAGGAGATGAATCAATGAGAAACCCCAGGCCTCCCTCTCTCACCTAGGACTATGCCAAGGCAGACGCCAACAGCAAACACCACTAAACCTGCCAACATTCCCCATGTTTCTGAATAACACTCTTGCCAATGCCACCACCGACAACTGTTGGAAAAATGAGTACTTTTTACTGAGCACTAGAGCAAACAATTGGGCCTTCCCAAAGGTCACTTCCATAAAAAACAAATAGGTAAAAAGAGCTAAAAGAAGCTACTAGGGGACAACATATATTTTGAAGCCCATTCTGATTCCTTTGAGGCCCAAACATAGAAGTTCATGGATTCATGGCTAATAAAAATATTTACCACTTATTGAGGCCTTTCAGTTGGCCACTGTGCTAATAAGCACTTCACAGACACCATCTAATTTAATCCTTTCCGAGAAGTCTATGAAGGGCGTATTTCCCCTACTATCTCCATTTTACAGACGACACAACTGAGGCTGAAAAGTTCAACATCTTTCCCAAGGTCACACAACTAAGAAATTACAGTGGCACCTGTAATAAAACTTGACTCTGTTGAGCTTGGAAATTCTAAGGAACATTTGAAAACGCTCATGATTTTATGACAGTGTGCACTGTTAATACTAAATGATGTATGTCAAACAGCAGCATTTTTCAACTGTCGGTTCTTAGCCCGTTGATGGATCAAAACTGACAATTTTCAGAAATTACAGAGAAAATATTAGAGTGCATCCAAGTATAGTTTCATGAAGCTTTGTTTCGTTTAGCTGTAACTGTATACTAAGTTATGATGTAAAATGTATTCCCTTCTGTAGTTCTGGAGGACCTCAACGATGGCAAGCATCAGTTAT